GGCATTTCCCTGGACGACGTCCGGGGACAGCGGAGCGAGGCGACCGCCCTCTATCTCTCTCAGTATCTGCCTCTGTCTCTGTCTCAGTCTCCGTCTTTTTCTTTGTTCTCTCTCTCTCTATCTCTCTCTCTCTCTCTAGTCTCGGCTCACCGTTCCCCCGCGGTCCTGGACTGGACCAGGAGCCCGGCTCCCCTTGTCCGTATCCTCGCGAGACCGGGCGGTTGCTGTCTGCCCTCAGCCCACCGGCAGGGTCCCCTTCTCACCCGCGCTTCTCTCCCGCGGCCGCCGCCGTCCTCATGCCGCTCGGGCGGCCCCCGAGAAGAAGGTCCAAGAATCGGAACTTGCTCGCAGAGCTTCCTGAGGGGCTGCACTCCAAGACGCAGGATCTGATCGTGCTACTCCAGCGTTCGACAAGCTCCTCGCTGTCGCCTCCTCTGGGGCCGGCCGCGTCCACCACCAGCTCGCCACCCACCCTGCCGAGGTCCACAAGGCTCTCCAGCGCTTTTGTAGCAAACGCAATATCAGTTGGACTTTTGCTCCCCATCGAGGTAAGGGCCAGACTGGCCGCGATGATGAGCCCAATCCCATCCAGCCGCCCCGACTCGCTCGAGGAGCCTGATCCTCCATTGATAAGCTTCGACGCCGACTACTGGGTCGTCCCCGTCGTGGCCCAGCCCACGCGCACGCTCAGCGGTGACGCTTTCCCATCAACATGTTCGTTCACAGCTACGAAGAAGGTGAACGGCTGTTCACCCAACTCCACGGGCACGACCAACCACTGGCTCTTGCGGTATTGGTTCCCAAGAACCTTTTCTACCCAGTGGCTGAAATGGCCATCCCCGTGCTGCGTCGCAACGCTGCGGCTGCGGAGAGGGTGCGTACGTAAACGGTACGGTCTGCCAGTGCAGCGCCACAGTGGTAGCGCACCGTAAGAACATCGCGCGAGTCACACTCGACCCATCTCCCAACGCCACTTGGACCCAGGTTACCATTCACGACGAGCAGGATTCATAACACGTCTCACCACGCTCCAAGAGTTGTTGATCAAGGAACTCTCAGTCTCCGACCGCGTCAGCGGGCCTCGCAAAGATCCCCGTGGAGGCGACGGTACTGCCCAGCAGGCGGCTCGCAAGCGCTACAGGGCCAACTCCAGCCACTAGGCCAAACGCGAGTTGGGCGAGGCTTTCCCAGATGCGTTCAAGGCCATCTTTCAGAACCACGTCGCCACTGGCGATCCGCGAGCAGCCTATCCAGCGTGGCCGCCACGATTGAGCAAGGGGCGAGCGGAAACTCACGGCAGTTTTCGACATCTCAGCTCTTGATGTCAATGACATCCTCGCCGTATCGGGCATCGGATGATCATGTGCGACCTCGGCCGCCGCGGACCTTCCCAACTCCCTGACTCGGCCATCTCCCCTTACGTGGCCATCTGGTGCGAGCCTGACGTCGCGATGGAGGCCGCATTGGCCATTTCAACCAACCGCGTGGCCCGTGGCGTCACCGAGTGCAACCGCGCCGTCGGCGCGCGCGTCTTGCGAGCGAGCGAGGCCGCCAAGATCGTCGCCATCGAGCGCGAGGCACCGAAGCCGCCCTGGCCACCGTCAGATAACGCACCGCGGGCCTGGAGCACCACGGCGCCACTGAGGGGCAGTTCGCCAAAGTCTTGAGAGTTCTCGACGGGCTATCCGAGGCCTACCGCGCAGGCTGGGACGAACCTGCCTCCCTTACGTTACTTCGCCCTGGTCCGTGCGCCGACGCAGCCCGCCCAACTCTAACGTCAAGGGCGCGGCGAGCTACGCCCCTGGGTCCATCGCTCCACCTAGGAGGCGATCCACCAACCGGCCCCCGCGGCCTCCGCGCCGCTGTCGCCCGCTCAAATCGCCAAGTGTTCAGAGCAAGGCTCTCCATGAGCCTTCCGCCAGGGCGGCCCCGTCCCCTGCGGCCACGGGCACTTCGAGCCAGGTTGACTTCAATCGGCCGAGGTCGTTTCATCGACACAGGGACCCTGAGCGCCAAGGTGGTCCCGGCCCCGAGGACAGCCAAATTCGGGCCTTTCATGGACTATTCCACTTCGGCAATGAAGATGAGGGTATGGACGATTTCGCCGACGACGAAAGGACCGAGCAGCGCCACGCAGGTCGCCACCTTTCTGGCGTCTCCGATGGCGTTGGCAAGAGATTCTGGGGCTTCGCGGCCACTTGCTCCACTCTTGGCGCCACCTTCACCAAGCTGCAAGACGGGCACCATGAGCTCACCGAGCCCACGCATACCCTCCAGGGGGGGCAGGCCAAGGATCTCATGAACGGGGACAAAATTGGTCGCGACGCTCAGCGACAGAGCTCAGCAGTTCCTCCAGAAGCTCTGCACCAAAGGGGCCCTGGCGCCCGCGACATCGCCAGACGACCAGCGCTCCCCGCAGGAGATAGCCAGGGACCTGGAGGCCGCTAGTCAAGAGGCCTCAGTGGCGCCAGCCTTCCCATGGGCGGCAGCAGCCGCAGGCTTTCCATCGGCGCCAGCGGTCCCTGCCCCCGCCCTTCCGGCGGGCGTGCCACCATTGGCCGTCGGTCCACCCAGGAAGTCCAAGGAGGCCGAAACCGTCGATCTCCCCAACCAGCCCATATTGCTGAGGTATCGACAGGACCGCCTCATCCTTTTGAGGAAGCGTGCCGCGGGCCCCCCCACTTCCCGCTACCTCTCACCTGGTTGTTCGGGAAGCCGCTCGCAACACGGGGACTGTTCTGCGGTGCCTAATTTCCTCTTCATCTTGGGGTCCGTGGTGAAGCTCAGTCTTGTTTCGTCTAGCCATCCGTTGTCCGATACCTCGCTTCACTGCACCATTCTGTTCAGGAGGGAACAAAAACACACAGACACAATTCATCGTCGACTCCCAGGGAAATATGGGGAAATATGGGAAGTTGGGGGGAAGACAAAAACCCAGAAAATATCGGAAAATATGGGGAATCCTGTTATTTGTGTGTATTTATTTGTGTGTCCCAGGGCCCCTTCAGTTTCGTCTAGCCATCCGTTGTCCGATACCTCGCTTCACTGCACCATTCTGCCACGCCGTCGGTGGGTGCGGGCTGCTCATCCCTCCGCGCCGCCCGCCGCGGCACCCGCCTCCCCGCCTCCGCGCGCAGGACCTCGGGGCCCCGTGGTGCCGCCGTGCTGCCTGTGTCGGACGTTTTTGAATTCCCAGATCCCAATCTACTTCAAGCGCCTTCCCACTTCATGTTTTTACCTACTTCTTCCGACCGACGTGTAAGTCCATTCCAGAGCCTTGCGGAACGCTCAGAGAGCGTCCCAGAACGCTCCGAGAAGGCCGCGGTGTCCGACACACTTTCCGGAGCCGAGAGGTTCTCGACTTACCCTCGCCCGAACTTGTGCCCCCGCCTTGGCGTCGTCTCATCTCGTGGATGTGGATCGCCTGCCTCCGGCACGCCCCCGCCCAGCCCAGCAGTTGTGGAGCGCCCTGCCCCCCGGAGCTCGGCGGGGCTCCCGCTCTCTCCCCTGGAGCGCGCTCTGGCCGGGCCTCCGGGGCGTGTCCCGCACCCGTGGCGGCGGGGGCGCCCGCGGAGGGCCCAAGAGGGCCCGAGGAGCCTCCAGGCCTCAGCCCTCGAGCTTCGACCCTCGGTGGCGACGGCCCCTCCAGGAGTGGCTCCATGCACAGGGGAACCAAAAAAAGTGGCATAAGCATAAAAACTCGGAGGTCCGCGCGGATTTCTCGGATCGGCGCTGGGACCCCCCTTCCTGGCGCGCGGGGCGCGCCAGGGGCGGCGCCGGAGGCGCCGCCGGGGGGCCCCAGCGCCGATCCGAGAAATCCGCGCGGACCTCCGAGTTTTCATGTTTATGTAATTTTTTGTTCCCCCTAATACACTGGAGGCCCGTGCCAAGAAACACCCTGCTTGCCTCCACGGTGTCCTGGGTTTCTTGGGTCTCGATGGTTCTGCGACGGAGAGCGGGACGTTCCCATGCCAAAGATCAATGGGCACCCTGGGGTCTCAGTGTTGGGTTTCCCGTGGAAGGCTTCTTGTGGACGGGCCTCCACTGTATACGCTGAGGTGTGCAGGCCTGCGCCCGAAGCATGGTTGTGCACATGTTCAGTTGAATTTCGGTAGCAGATCGTGGGAGCCTGGTATGCCCTCTGAATTCCGTCGTTAGCGTCGACTAGCGTTGATTAGCGTCTGGGAGTCGATGAGATAGTGCCGATTCAGCGTCGATTCAGAGTCGATTAGCGTCGATTCAGCGTCGACTCTGGGGTACGCTCCGCCCAGAATTCTGAGGCGGATCCAGCCGAGGCAACGGGGATGGGCGCCGAGCCTGGGGGGGGAAGTGAGAAGGGGCAGGCCTTCTCAGTGGTCCCCCGAGAGGTTTTCGAAGCCCTCCCCGAAGACACGCACCGAGGGCGTTCCGCTCGCAAAGTGCCTACTCGCAAACTCCGGGCCATTTGCGAGTGGTGTAACGCGCTTGTCCAGACACAGAAAGTATCTCAGAAGGCCGGAGGGCTTCTGAGAAGCCCCGCCGCCATCCGAGAAGGCCCTCTCCTTCTCACTTCACCCCCCTCGCTCGCAGCCGAGAGGAGCCTCCTCGAGGAGGAGGAGGAGGAGGAGGAAGAGGAGGAGGAGGAGGAGGAGGGGGAGGAGGAGGAGGAGGAGGAGGAGGAGGAGGAGGAGGAGGAGGAGGAGGAGGAGGAGGAGGAGGATGAGGAGGAGGAGGAGGAGAGGGAGGGGGAGGGGGAGGAGGGCAAGCCAGGTGCCCTCGCGTCATATCTGACCTCCTACCCCTCCCTCCCATCCCTTACCATGGCTTAGCTCTCCTCTCTATTCGCACAATCGGATGTCGTAGCATGGCATAGCATTAAATGGCATAGCATGGTGTCGAAGATCAACGCGTAGCATGACATAGCATGGCGTGGCGACGCCCCAAGGTGGGGGGGAGGACTTCTGCGGCCCAGAAAATCAACGAATCGACACCGAGTGTGTAATCACTTCCGATGGCTTCTTCGGGAGGCCGTTCTTTTGGATTTTGGGGCCTATTTGGAAAGACCGAAAACCATGTCAGGGCATGGCACTCGAAATAATGACGCCAGCGCTGCAGCGGGAGCACGGTTCGGAACGAGCGGAAGCGCGGAAATAAGGCCAGCGCTGCAGCGGGGGCATTATTCGGAACGAGCGGTATCCCGAAATTGAGGCCAGCGCTTCAGCGAGAGCAGCATGTGGAAAAAAAACAGCGCGGAAGCGCGGAAATGAGGACGCGTAGGCTGACGTAGCCTGACGTGGCGACGCCCCAAAGGGGGGGCTTGGGGGGCTTCTGCGGCCCAGAAAATCAACGAATCGACACCGACTGTGTAATCACTCCCGATGTTTTTTTCGGGGGGGGGCGGGCATTTTCTAGATTTTGGGGCTTATTTGGAAGGACCAAAGACCATGCTGTGGCATGGCGCTGGAAATAATGAAGTCAGCGCTGCAGCGGCACGAGCGGAAGCGCGGAAATGAGGCCAGCGTTGCAGCGAGAGCACGATTCGGAACACGCGGTAGCCCGAAAACGAGGCCAGCGCTTCAGCGCGAGCAGCATTCTGACAAAAAGCCGAAGCGAAAGCTTGCTTCCCAGGAATCCTGCGTGTAAAAGACCAGTTCGCGGAGGGGTGCCGGACACTCCCCGGACGCCACCAGGGGAGAGAGAAGAGCAGTATTCATATTGTGTAATTGTGGAGGGGGAGAGGGGAGATCCAGCCGAGGCAGCGAAGAGCCTCCACGAGGCTTATCATGTTTCAACCTACTTTAGCCTTGATTATCAGAAAGAATTTCGAGCACCAAAAAAAGTACCGAAACTTGAGGGATTTCACGCCTCGGGTCCTGGGAGACACACATTCGTCCGACACTTTTCCGACACTCTTTTTGGATACTCTTTCGACACATTTCCGGGTGCTCGAAATGAGTTCTGGGATGTGGTCCTGAAGCACGATGGGAGCAACCTAACCCGAGGCCCTGGTTCGTCGAGCCTCGAGCCTCCGCGCGCGGGGCCCGTGCGTCTGCCGGCGCCGGCCGCCTGCAGGTGGTCCTCAGGGCGCACGTCGCCCTCCAGGAGGCCCTCGTGGACGTCGTGCACGCGGAGCCGGGGACGAGGAGGAGCAGGCTCAGGAGGCTGACTCAGGAGGTGGGAGGAGGGGATGGAGGGGGAGAGGAGGAGGCTCAGGAGAGGGAGTGGAGGGGACTCGGACGAGGAGGAGGAGGAGGAGGAGGACCAGTGTAGACCAAGAGCCATCAACGATGTTGGAATCACCCCTTCCTCCAAGCTCCCTCTGCACACGCCCCTACAGCGGTTCATTTCAGCTGGGGGAACTGCCTCGTTGGAAGACAACCGTTTGAAGGCCCTGAAGCATGCCAAAACATTGTTCTCGGGATTCCAACGCCACGGATCAACCTGACTACTGCGTCTTGACGATCCTGAATCGTGCCAGAAAACCGTTCCTGGGACTTCAACACCGCGAATCAACGTAACTGCTGCCCCCTCATCATCCTGAAGCCTTCCAAAACACCATATCTGGTACGTTGATCATGGGAATTAAAAACGAATGTGCGCGGCGTTAAGCGAGGAACACATTTTGAAAAGGAGCCAGCCTCAATCCGTGAAGTTCTTGTGTACCTTTCAAAATGTACGCGGCGCTGAGGCGAGAGTCACATTTTGAAAACGGCCCGCCCTCAATCCGTGAAACTCTTAGAAGATTTAAAAGCGAATGTGCGCGGCGTTGAGGCGAGAGCCACATTTTGAAAGCCACCCGCCCTCCATCCGAACTCTTGCAAATATTTAAAACTAATGTGCGCGGCGCTGAGGCGAGAGTCACATTTTGAAAATCAGCCGCCCTCCATATGTACAGTTGTTGTCAATTTTTATGTTTCAGGGTTATAGATGGTGAGGATATATCAGGCGAAACGCCCGGCCCGCCCTAAAACTGGCCTCGGGGTGCGACAGGGAGAAGTTATCTATATATGGGAATCGAATTGAGGAGGAGGCGGAGGAGAAGGAGGAGGAGGAGGAGGAAGAGGAGGAAGAAGAGGAAGAGGAGGAGGAGGAGGAGGTGGATGAGGAGGTGGGGGACCAGTGTAAAGCCAAGATTCATCAACGATGTTGCAGTCAAGCCTCCCTCCAAGTTTCCTCTTCGTAGGCACTATACAAGGTTGCATTTGACAGTTGAGTGCCTCATTGGAAGACAATCGCTTGAAAATCCAGAACTGTACCAGAACACCATTCCTGGGACTTCAGCGCCGCGAATCAATATGATTGTTGCGACCAGACAGTCCGACATCGTACCATACAACCATTTCTGTGTCGTTGACCATGAGAATGACTGAAACTGTTGTGAACTCTGATATCGAATGTGAGAGGCGCTTTGGTGAGAGCCGCATTTTGAAAAGGAACCGCAGTCCACCTGTAAGATCAGCAATTTTTTAAGACGAGTGTGTGTGTGGCCGGAAGGCGAGATCCACATTTTGAAAACGGCCCGCCCTCCACCCGTGATGCTCGTGCAATTCTTGAAGACGAGTGTGTGCGGCGCTAAGGTGGGAGCCGCATTTTGAAAACGGCCCGCCCTCCAGCAATGATGCTCGTGCAATTTTTGAAGACGAATGTGCGCAGCGCTATGGCGAGAACCATATTTCGAAAACGGCCCGCCCTCCATCCGGGAAGTTCTTGCACACCTTCAGCTCCAGAATCACAAATGGTGAGGAAATGTCAGGCGAAACGTCCTGCCCGCCCTACCGACACGCCTCGGGGTGCGTCAGGGAGAAATTATGTATTCGTAAGAGCTTTGCCCCCCCTGCCGCAGGCCCCCTCGCTCGGATAATGCGGGATGCAAGAGCATGTTGTGAGGCCTTGGCGCCGTCGTGAAGCAGCGTCGGAGCTCCGAACGGGGGCCGCTTGAGATATTCAGGTGCGCATTGCGTAATTTACGAGACAGTCTTGCCTCGGCGACGCGCATCTTGAATAATTGTTTTTACACTTCGCGAATCCCCGCCAGCCCATTCAGAAGCCCTGCCCACGAGAGCTGACGGGAAATGGAAAGCAGAGACGCAAATGGTGAAACAGAGCGGTCAAAGAGAGGAGGGGGAGGAACGTGTTGAGCCATGTTGGAGGCTATCTTGGAGCATCGGAGGCCTTCTTGGAGCTATGGAACTTTTTGTGGGGGGTATCTTGGGGCTCTCTTGGGGCTCTTTTGGGGCATCTTGGGGCCCTCTTGCGGCTTTTTGGGGGGTCGTGGTGTCCTTTTGGGGTGGGGCGTCTTGGGACCCTCTCGGGGCCCCTTTTGGGCCCTCTTGGGGCTCTCTTGGGGCTCTCCTGGGAGCTTCGGAGGGCCGAGGCCATCGATCAAACGTGGAAGGTCCTTTATCTAGGTCCCCCCCTGAGGGCCATCAAAATCGCCTCTGGGGGCCCGGGGCCGTCTTGGGGGTCTCTTGGGCCCCTCTTGGAGCTCTCTTGGGCCATCCTGGGGCCATCTTGAGGCTTCAAGAACGCATCGGAAGTTAAGAGGCGAGAAGGCCCAAATCATCGATTCCCCTTTGGTTTATGAAGGATTTTGGCTTCTCGGGGAGGTCCTGAAGGGTCTCCAAAAGCACTTCGATCCGTCTTGTTGCCCTCTTGAGGCCTCTTGGAGGCATGCTGTTAGCTATGTTGAGCCATGCTGGGCTATTCTGAGCGATCTTGGAGGCCATCTTGGGCTCTCTGGGGCCCTCTTGGAGCCATCTCAGGCTATCTTGGACGCCCTGACATCTCGTGAACCTCCCCGTCCAGGTCCAGGGGACGGGGTAGGGGGAGGAGTCAAGACTCCCTCCCCGCCCGCAAGCCGTCTCGCTCACTCCCACCCGCCCTCCCAACACATACGTAGCATCCGAGCCTGGCCCGAGCCGCAGCATATTCAGCAGTCGACTTTGGATGGGCAGCTTCTGGGAGCGAATCCGCCGCCGCCGCCGCCGCCTCCGCCGCCGCCGCCGCCCGCCGCCGCCGGCGCCGGCGCCGCGCCGCGCCGCCGCCGCTGTCCGCCCGCCGCCGCCGCGCCGCCCGCGCCGCCGCCGCCGCCGCTCCCGCTGTCGAATCGCCGCAGCCGCTGCCGCGGCAGCCGCTGCGCCACCGCTGCCGCCGCCGCCGCCACCGCCGCCGCCACCGCCGCCGCCACCGCCGCCCCCCGCCGCCGCCGCCACCGCCGCCGCCGCCGCCAGCCGCCGCCCCCGCCGCAGCCGCCGCCGCCGCCGCCGCCGCCAAGAGTACTCTGTATTGTTTTTTGCCGGGTGGTGGGGGGAGGCCGCGTCGGGTTCGCTGCGCATGTTCCGAATTTGGAGGCAGAGTGTTTTTTTTGTTTTTCTTCACAAAGGATGGTGGGGGGTGCCCGCATTGACCCAGCTTGGCTCCCAGTCGCCGGGGGGAGGGGGTGTATATTGATAGGGAAGAGTGATCAAGAGTCTCCCTCCCCGCCCGCAAGCCGTTTCGCTCACTCCCACCCGCCCCCCCAACACATACGTAGCACCCGAGCCTGGCCCGAACCGCGGCATATGCAGCAGTCGTCTTTGGGTGGCCAGCCAGTGGGGGCCAATCCGCCGCCGCCGCCGCCGCCGCCGCGCCGCCGCCGCCGCCGCCCCGCCGCCATCGCGCTGCCCGCCGCCGCCGCGCCGCCGCCGCCCCCGCTGCCGCTGCCGCGGCCGCAGCCGCTGCCGCCGCAGTCGCTGCCGCCACCGCTGCCGCCACCGCCGCCGCAACCGCCGCCGCCGCCGCCGCGCCGTGCCGCCGCCGCCGCCGCCCCCGCCGCCGCCGCCGCCCCCGCCGCCGCCACCGCCGCAGCCGCCGCATTTGCTGCCCAGGCCGCAGCCGCCGCAGCCGCCGCCGCCGCCGCCAAGTGTATTTCTTGTTGTTGTAGCAGGGATGGTGGGGAGAGGCCGCATCGGGTACGCTGCGCATGCTCCGAATTTGGAAACCGTTTTTTTTTTTTTTGTGTGTGTGTGTGTGTGTGTGTGTGTGTGTGTGTGTGTGTGTGTGTGTGTCTCTCTCTCTCTCTATATATATATATATATATATATAAGGGATGGAGGGGGCAGGGTGTGTATGGTCAGAGTGAGGGGGCCGAACGGTCATTCACTGTCCCTGGGTGCGTGGCTGAAATGGGATTCCGCGGTGCGGATTCGTGTTGTTGTTTGTTGTTGTTTGTTGTTGTTTGTTGTTGTTTGGTGTTTGTTGTCGTCGTCCCACCCGCAACCCGCCCCGCGACCCACCCGCGACCCACCCCGCGACCCACCCCGCGACCCACCCGCGACCCACCCGCGACCAACCCGCGACCCACCCTGCGACCCACCCCGCGACCCACTCGGCGACCCACCCCGCGACCCACCCCGCGACCCACCCCGCGACCCACCCCACGACCCACCCGCGACCCACCGGCGACCCACCTGCGACCCACCCGCGACCCACCCCGCGACCCGCCTGCGGCCCACCCCGCGACCCACCCCATGCTCCACCCGCGACCCACCCGCGACCCAGCCGCGACCCACCCGCGACCCACCCGGCGACCCACCTGCGACCCACCTTCGACCCAAACCACGTTCAAGGTACAAACCACCATTTTCCGTGCCTGCGGCGGGTGTTTTTTTGCATTCCTTCCAGGTGGAGAGCCCGGGAACCACCCCGCGACCAACCCGCGACCCAAACCACGTTCAGGGTACAACATTTTTTGGCGCCTGCGGCGGGCATCTTTTGCATTCGTTTCAGGTGGAGAGCCCGCGGCCCACCCGCGACCACGTTCAGGGTACAAACCAATTTTTCCGGCGCCTGCGGCGGGCATTTTTTGCATTCGTTCCCGGTGGAGAACCCGCGGCCCACCCGCGACCCAAACCACGTTCATTGTACAAACCAATTTTTTCGGCGCCTGCGGCGGACTGCTTTTGCATTCCTTCCAGGTGGAAGTGGAGCACCCGCGACCCACCCGCGACCCAAACCACGTTCACTGAACAAACCACCGCACAAGCGCGGCGGCAGATTTTTGCATGCCGTCTGAGCCCGCAACGATCTCTTCAAGCCCCGCGCATCCACAACAGCCCGTCCAGCAGCTTTGCCCTGGCGAGTTGCCTTGATCAGAGAAGTCGGGGGGCATAAAGTGGAAAAAAGGATTGCGTTGCCGTTATCTTGGGGAAGGAGGGGGAGGCAGGAGGAGTAAAAAGGGGACGAGGAGGGCGCGGAAGAAGAGAGGATGTAAGGCGAATGTGGAGAAAGAGGAGGAGGAGGAGGAGGAGGAGGAGGAGGAGGAGGAGGAGGAGGAGGAGGAGGAGGAGGAGGAGGAGGAGGAGGAGGAGGAGGAGGAGGAGGAGGAGGGGAGGAGGAGGAGGAGGAGGAGGAGGAGGAGGAGGAGGAGGAGGAGGAGGAGGAGGAGGAGGAGGGGGGGGGGAGAAGGGGGAGGAGGGGGAGGAGGAGGACGAGGAGGGGGAGAAGGGGGAGGAGGGGGAGGAGGGGGAGGAGGATGATGATGGAGGACGAGGCCGATGAGGGGGAGGACGATGATGGAAGGACGAGGGGGGGAGAGGGAGGACGAGGAAGAAGAGGAGGTGGAGGAGGAGGATGACGATGACGATGAGGACGAGGACGAGGACGAGGACGAGGAGGAGGAGGAGGAGGAGGAGGAGGAGGAGGAGGAGGAGGAGGAGGAGGAGGAGGAGGAGAGCGCCATCGACAGGGAAGGTGGGGGCCACGAGGTCCGCCAGCTCGACGACGCCCGCGTCGCCCGGGCCCGCCCCCTCACTCTTATCCGCAATTGCGGGGTGCTATATATTGTTTTTTACAAGGGATGGTGGGGGGGTGCCCGCATGGACCTGGGTTGGCTCCCAGTCGCCTGGGGGAGGGGGTGAATATTAATAGGGAGCAGTGATCAAGCTACCCACCCGCTCGCAAACCGTCTAGCTCACTCCCACCCGCCCTCCCAACACATACGTAATACCCAGGAGTCAGCATATCACGTAAGAACGCCGCAGACGCCACGGGTTCCATATGCACCAGACTCTGGACGCCCAAGCGTGCAAGGCGCGCCAGGTGCGGCGCGTGCTCCACGTGCGCCCGGTGTTCCACGTGCTCCAGCCGCGCCAGGTGCGCCAGCCACTGGGCACCAACAGGGGCTCCACCTCCCTACGCCGCAACTGCTCGTCGGAAATAATAAGCCCCCCCCTATTTGTGGCTAGCCCCCCCCCTTCGGGGACCTTCATAGCAACCTCTTGAGGCCATCTTTGGGCCACCTTGGGGCGCTCTTGGGGCCGTCTCGGAGGCCTCGTGGGCACGGCTTGGCGCTCTCGTGGGCCATCCACCAGGACCTCCCCCTCTGGGGCCTTCGAAGCCGTTTCTTGGCGCCCTTTTGGCGCCAACTTGGGGCGTTTTTCTTGCTGGCTTGGAGCCCGATTTTGGAGCTTTCTTAGCAATTTCTGGAGCGATTTGCAGGTTTCGAAAGCCCATCGGAAACGATAAGGGGAAAAGGCAGCAGCCACTGATGTGTTAAACAAGTCGGTCGACCACCTGCGCCCAGAAGGCAGGTGGGATCAGCTGACGCCCCAGCCGTCCCAATAAAGTACCAATACAAAATGGTCGCGGGGCGGCCGCGCATGCTCCAAATCTGGAGGTAGAGTGCGTTTTGTATTGTTTTCGACAGGGATGGCGGGGGGGCGGGCCCTCGTGGAGTGGGAGGGAAAAAGGCATCGTTAGACTGCCTGCGCCCAGAGGGCTGGGGGAGTTTCGCAGGAATTATGGTCTCGGGAGCCCGAGCAGAGCGTAACTTGCAAGGGTTTATGGCCTCGGGGGACGCGAATATCGTGTAATTTCCGCGGGATCATGGCTTCGGGGGCGCGAAGCTCATGTATTGCGAAGGCCTTGCGGTCGATGCCGCCGACCCTGTAGACAGCAACGACGAAGACAATGGAGGTACAGGAGTCCAAGATGCCCTCAGATGGCTCGAAGTCGGCGCCAGATGCCTGCAAGGTCGTCCGAAGACATCTCAAGAGGCCTCCTCCAGGGTTCGGGAACGGCTCCAGAGAGTGCCAAGATAGGCAAAGAGCGCCCTCAAGTGGCCCGAGAGGGTTCAAGACGGCGTCAAGCGAGGTCCAAGAGCGCCCGCAGAGGCTGTCAAGAGTGCCGCCAAAGGCTGCCAAGAGAGTCTAAAAATGGCGATCTCCAAGGAGCCTTAAGATAGGCTGAAAGGGCCCGCAGACGGCCACGGAGGGCCAACGGAGCCCCAGGACGCAGGAGGATGAGAGGCGGGGGGCTGCGTGTCCAAGGGGGGACCCCTCCCTGGGAGTTGCCCCAGGACCCCCCCCCCCCTGGGCACCCCCCCCCACCCCCGGGCGGGGAAGGGATCAAGGGAAGGGGCTTCCCTTCGGCTGAAGGACGACGTTGTTCAATTTTTGTGCGGACTTGTGTAGGGATAGGAGACCACATGCGAACTCTACCCCTACCCCCCACGATTTCTGAGGGGGAGGGTGGGGTTCACTTCGTTCGGGAGCTCTCGAGCAAAGTGAACCCCCCCCTCCCCCTCAGAAATCGTGGGGGGTAGGGGTAGGGTTCGCATGTGGCCCCCTAAGGGAGCCCTCGGAACGCAGAAGAGGCGACGACGCCGTGGGGAAGACGGAAAAGCCTCTCCCACACGCCGACAGGGTCGGCGGATTTTGACGTGTCCCAGGGCCCTCCCAGAAGTCTCGAGCCCTCCCAAATGAATGTCTCCAGGGCCCTTTTCGGCTCCACCCCCTCGCGCGGACTTCAGCAATTCACAGTAGGAAGCAGAACACAGAATTGTAACATCGGAGACTGGAGAGTGGAACTGGAGCAGGGAGCAGCAAGCCTAATCCCTGGAGCCTGATGGCCCCGCAAGGGGGCCGGCGGATAAGGAAACGGAATGGAGGAGGAAGAGGAGGACAGCTCAAGGACACCGGAGGAGGAAGGTGGAATAAACGGAGGAGTGATGATGATGATGATGATGATGAGGAGGAGGAGGAGGAGGAGGAGGAGGAGGAGGAGGAGGCAGAGGAGGAGGCAGATGAGGAGGAGGAGGAGGAGGAGGAGGAGGATGAGGAGGAGGAGGAGGAGGAGGAGGAGGAGTGAGGACCAGAGTAAGCCAAAGATGCACCAATTAAGCTGCAAAGCGCCCACCTGTCCCAAGTCTTCTCCCGTCCCTATTCTTCCTTTAGCTGGGGGAGATGCCTTTTTCTTGAACGACGAATATCACGTGGTCTGGTGATTCAGGCGAGAGTTCAGTTTTGAGAATGATCTTCCATTCATGCTTCTTGCTATCGCGACGACCACATGGTATGATCATCAAGTCCAAGGAAGTGTACGGCGAGAGCCCCGCTCTGAAAAAGAAGCGCCCTTACACTTCTGATCGTAGCATCTTCGAACATCTCACGCGATAGCCCTGATTTGAAAAGGAGTCGCCCTCCATCCGTGTAACGGTTGCACATTGCTTCTTTCTTTCTGATCCTGTGGGCTATACGTGTCTGCTGCAGCACACGCGCGCCCACAACGCATCAACCGGCGCGGCAGTCCAGCACGCCAGACCACAGCAGCACGGCAGACCAGCACGACAGACCACAGGAACTTTGCAGACCAGCACGAGAGACCACAGGAGCAATGCAGGCCAACACAGCAGACCAGCAAGGCAGACCATTGGAGCACGGCAGGCCTGCACGGCAGACTACAGCAGCACGGCATACCAGCTCAGCAGACAGTAGTAGCAACGGTAGACCAACACGACGGATACAATTTTCACGAATCGAATGTGCAAACACGACGCTTCCCGTTCTCGTCCGGCCAGGTTCTCAAAGATGGCAGTTTCGTTCAAGGCGTCTTCCCAATATCGATTTCGGAGGGGACTCCAAACCAACATCGTCTTGGAATCGCTTCCGGAGGGCTTCAAAACGGCCCCCAAAGGCTCCCCACAGGACTCCCCAAGCGCCCCCAGGGACTCCCAAGGGACGCCCAAGAGCGCCCGCAGGCCTTCAAGAGCGCCCGAGGAGGCCCTGAGATTGCGAGAGCCCCAAGACGGCTCAAGAGGGCGCCAAGATGACCCAAGAGAGCCCCCACAGAACCTCGACGAGCTCAGCCCAAGAGACTCCCACTCCCAAAAGGCTCCCAACTGGCCCCCAAAGGCTCTATAGAGGGCCCCACATGGCCAAAGATCCCCAAGAGGCCTCGACAGCCCACGAGGTCCGTCGTATGCCTAGGACTGCAGACTAACTCGACATACCAGCACCGCAGACCAACATAATGAAATGATCGAATTTGTGTTGGTTTGCTGTGTTACTTGTCTGAGTTGTTTTGACGTTCTCCGCCAGACGTTCTCTGACAAGTTTGGCGGGCAAAGCTGCGCTTCCCGTTCTTGTCTAGTCAGGTCAGGTATGGTGGTGGTGGCGGTGGTGATGAGGATGACCAGGATGCTTGTGCTGCTGCTGCTGCAGATGACGATGACGGCAACGATTGTCGCGCGCACCAGCGCTCCTCGTGAGCTGCGCGACACGGCGGTGGAGGAGGGTGGTGGGGACTGAGGTTCCAGGATCCAAGGGGGGAGGTGCGCTCAAGGGCGGAGGAGGCGGGGTGCGCAGCGCGGCGGTGCGTGAAGAGCGGCTGGGGAGGAGGAGGAAGAGGAGGAGGAGGAGGAGGAGGAGGAGGAGGAGGAGGAGGAGGAGGAGGAATAGGAATAGGAATAGAATAGGAATAGGAATAGGAGGAGGAGGAGGAGGAGGAGGAGGAGGAGGAGGAGGAGGAGGAGGAGGAGGAGGAGGAGGAGGAGGAGGAGGAGATGGAGGAGGTGTTGGGGGACTTCTCAGCCCTGCGCGGCGGCCTGCCGACGACGGCACGGCGGGCTCGGCGGCCTGCCGTGCCCCCGCCAGAGGACGCGCTCGCGGGCCACGCGGACGAGTTCGGCCTGTGCCCGCCGCCCCCGCACCCGCACCGCACGGCCGACAGCGATCCATGTTGATCCCATTCGGTATCCAGCTGCCCGCGGCAGGTCCCGCCGCCGTGCCAGCCCAACACCTCCGTCGGCGGCCCATCGATGGGGGCGCGGGAGGCCGTTGCGTGTTCCACCTCGTGTATCCAGGCTTGGCGCAGCCGCGATGAGGATACTGAGGATTATAAGGATGATGGGGTTGCTGCTGCTGCTGAGGAGGAGGAGGAGGAGGAGGAGGATGAGGAGGAGGAGGAGGAGGAAAGCAGTCACATGTGACACCTGTCGTCTTCACTACTGGAGGAGCTCTCATGACACTCGTTTGGGCCGCCTTGGGGCTGTTTTGGCCTCCCTGGTAGTCCCTTGGGGCCCTCGTGCCTCGTGCCGTCTTGGGGCTCTGGGCCGTCTTGGGGCCCTCTTGGCCGCATAGTGGGTGTTTGGGTGCCGTTGGGTGTCGTCTTGGCGCCGTCTGGGGCCGTTGAAGGGCCTTCTAAGGCTGTCTTGAGGCCCGCGGGAGGCCCGCTTGGGCCTGGGCCATCGTGGGGTCCTCTGGGGCCATCTCGGGACCTTCTTGGGGGCCCCTTGGGCCGTCTTAGGGCCATCGTGGAGGCTCTTTGGGCCGTCTTGAGCTGACGGGAGCCCGAAACTGCGATAGTGCGAGAACTATTGAAACCACCAAATGGGAATTTCTGACTTTGGCCTCTTCGGACCCCGTTGGCGGTCCTCTTGTGGCCCTTTCGGGCCCTCTAGGAGGCATCTTGGGCCGTTTTGAAGCTGAATTCGGCCGCCCCGGGGCCATCCTGGGCCGTCTTCGAGGCATCTTGGGCCATCTTGGTGTCCTTGGTTGCCCGCACGGGCAGTCCTGGAAACTCGGGGCGTACGGTCCGTTTTCACCGAGGAATCGTGGCGTCGGGGGCCGCGGCTCCATAGTTTTCACGAGGGATCGTGGCTTTGGGGGGGGAGGGCGGGCAGTGCATCCAGGGAGACGCGGCCCAGGGGCGGGTGTCCCGCGGGTGTCCCATATGACAACGCATCAGCCCTACCAGACAGCCCTTGGCATTCTGGCACGCTTCAACGTGCACGAGGCACGGTGGTGGATGGATCCGATCTCGATTTCGGCCAGCCCGATCCGATCCGATGCTGAGGCGCCCCGACGATCGGATGGCGAGGCTGTGCATACTGGCGCAGCGGATTTGGCTCGACCTCGTCTTCGTGCCGATGCGTCCCGATACTAAGGATGGGCAACCTTCCCAAGGGTACCCTTGCATCCTTGCCTCCTCGGCCCATCCTTGGCCACTTTCGTCAGGCCCCGCCCGAGAAGCTTCGAAACGGCCTTCCAGGGCCCTTGCATCCTTATCGCGCATCCTTATGATACGGGCCGACTGTACACGTACTCGCCCGGGAGCCTCGCCGAGGGCATAGACCATCGCCGCCCTTGGAAACACGTATTGATCTCCCCTGGGCTATTCGCCCTCATCGTCGCCCCCGAGGGGAGGATACCTTGGCATCCTTATGATACGGGCCGACTGTATCCCGATGCGGTGCCGACCGATCTTTCCGCGACGCAGCCGCGGGGTATTGATATATATATATATATATACAAGTGGCACGTGTGTGCCCAGGCTCATACAAAAAACTGAAAGGGCGTTTGAAGCAGGAAGACACCATGACTGCAGGATCGGAGTCGGAGAAGGGGAAGCTGGGGCGGCGCCGCCAGGGCGTGCCTAAGAGAAGGGGAAGAGGCAGGAGGTGAACGCATAATAATCTAAGATCGAGGTCGCACTCGAGCGCAAGTGGGGTTGCCACACCTTGCGATGTGTGAACCAGGGCCCCCCAGGAAACGATACTAGAAGAGGCTCCAGGAGGCCCCGGGATTGTGAGTGTTATGCGTGTGTGTGTGTGTGTGTGATGTGTGCTCTGTCTTGTGCGTGTTTTCCGTGCGTTGTAGGTGTTGTGTGTGTGTGTGTGTGTGTGTGTGTGTTCTGTTTGTCTAGCGTGTGATGTGTTGGGTGTGATTTGTGTCTCTGTGTGTGCATGTAGTTCTGAGGCCCCAGGAGGCCCCACGCGGCATCAGGAGGCCCCAGAAGACCCCAGGAGGCTCCAGCCGCAAGAGGCTCCAGGAGGCCGCAGGAGGCCCCAGGAGGTTCCAGGAGACCCCCAGGAGGCTCCGAGGCGGGGTCTGGGGTACCAGAAGGTACAGAAAGCCCCAGGAGGCCCCAGGAGGTTCCAGGAGGCTCCCAAGAGGCTCCGAGGCGGGGTCTGGGGTACCAGAAGGTGCGTCGGGGCTCGATTTTGGGAGGATGTCTCAGGCGAGATCGCCATTCTCTGAGAATCGGGGTCAAAATCATTGAAGTTACAATGTGTGTTTGAAGGTTTTATGTTCGAATGTTGAAATTCCCATGTGTTTTTGGACCCTGACGTCACGCTCTGCGTGAGGGGTGCCACCGATTTTCAGAATTTCGAGGATGTCCCGAGCGAAACTGTCAGACACATCGCGGACGCGGCGCCCCGCGTACGCATTAATCGCTTCTGAGCTCTACTCCCTCGGAAAGGTGCGTCTGATAATATATATATATATATATGTATATAGAAGTATACATACACTATGTATGCACACGTATTTAAATATTTGTATGTATATATCAACATAAACTCCAAATCGGCTTGCCCTATAGGAGTCCTGGCTCAAACCCTACTGATTGGTCCTTTCCCCCCCCTATTTCCTTCGCCCCCCCCGAGTTTCTGTGGCTATGCCTATGCCTATGCCTCCCCCGAACTCCTATGCCTACGCCTATGCCTGCTTGCTTGCTTGCTTGCCTGCTTGCTTGCTTGCTTGCCTGCCTGCCTGCTTGCTTGCTTGCTTTCGCGCTTGCACGCTTGCTTGCTTGCTTGCTTGCTTGCACGCTTGCTTGCGCGCTTGCTTGCACGCTTGCTTGCTTGCTGAGTTGCGGGTTCCAAGCACGCTTGATTCTTCTGATGTCTTGATCTGAGTCCTCTACTCTACTTGGAGTCAACGCTGGCTGATATTTTTGTAGAAATCCCAAATTTACATACATGTGGTGTACTGTAGTGTAATATAAGGTAATGTACGGTAAGGTACGGTACTGTAATGTAATGTAATGTGCTGTAATGTATTGCAATGCGATGCAATGCAATGCAATGCAACCCAGTGCAATACACTGTACTGTAATGTAATGCACAGTTATGACATGTAATGTAATGTATTATAACATATTATAATGTAATGTAATGTAGTGTAATGTGATGTAATGTAATGTAATGTAATGTAATGTAATGCAATGTAGGGTAATGTCATGCACTGTAATGTAATGTAATGTAATGTAATGTAATATAATGTAATGTGATATAATGTAATGTAGTGTAGTGTAGTTTAATGTACTGTACTGTACTGTAATGTAATGTAATGTAATGTAATGTAATGTAATGTATGCATGTATGGATGTATGTATGTATGTATGTATGCAGGTATGTAGGTATATGGATATGCATATATGTATACATGCATACATGCATGCATGCATGCATGTATGTATGTATGTATGTTTGTAGATATGCCTGTATGTATGTACGCATGTATGTATGCACGTATGTATGTTTGTATGTACGTGTATGTATACATAATATCTCTTTTTGAACACACACATATCTATATATATATATATGAAGAAGGAGGAGGGAGGAGGAGGTGGAGGAGCGGGACGAGGAGGAGGAAGAGCAGGAGGAGAAAGAGGAGGATGAGGGGGGGTCGATGGTTCTGGATGTTCTTCGCCCTTTTGGGCCTCTTGGGTGGCTTCTCGTCGTCACCTTTGGGTTTGCCTGGAGATCTTGGCCAGAAAGCACCCAAGGAGAGGTCAGGCGGCCAATCTTTCGAGAAGGGCCATTCACGGCGGCCTCCGCTGGGCGCTTGTGGTGAGGATTGTCCTACGTACAAGGTAGACTGACCGTTGATCACTGCAATGGCGGCAGTTGCACTTGGTTTCGCTTTGTCGCGGATTGACGTTTCAATATTTGTGGTGTATGTGCATTTTGATTATTTAATCGCTTCGCTCATTCCGCCGGTCCATAATGTCGCACCGTGGTCGCCTGTCCGAGTGGTCGTTTGCAGTGTGGAGCTGCGGCGTCGGGAGCTGTGTAGTTGTCGATAAATTTGCGAGTGTTTTTTCATGGGGCTTCTAGGTGTTTGCAGTTTTTTGACGGCTTTGGTGCCATCGTGGGGGCGTGTTACCCGTGGTATCCCGCTGTGGGGCCGTTCGAGCCGGGGAAGAGACATCTTATGCGATAGGGGACCCTCGTGTCGGAGGGTGGCGGGCTTTGAATGCTAACGTTGGCTCTGTTATCGTCCTGATGTCCTCTGGCGTTGCGGACGCGGGCGTGAAGGAACACTTTCTTGTGGCGTTTCTCTTACCATCTCTTTTTGAATTCGGAGGAGGAGGAGGAGGAGGAGGAGGAGGGTGGCGATTGAGGAGGACGACGACGAGGAGGAGGAGGAGGAGGAGGAGGAGGAGGAGGACGACGACGACGACGACGAGGAGGAGGAGGAGGATGAGGAGGAGGAGGAGGAGGAGGAAGGAGGAGGGG